ATTTCTTGTTTCTTAGTGTTTACTATAGGTCAGAAGAGATTCTTTTTTAAGGCAGGTGTATAGTGAAAACTTTAGAGGATCTAAGCTGTACCTCAGAAAATTCATCCCTTTTATAATCTATCATTTTCTCTGCTAGTCATTTTACACTTGCTTTTTATATTTAAAATCCTGTTTTATAAGCCAAAATTTGGCCACATAAGCTGTGCAGTTGTAATGGTTCCATATATAGCAGTGTGCACCTGGGTGAAAATCCTGAGATTTGTATCCTCACTGCATCTATCTTGGCTTTGGGACAAGTTACCCAACCTTTTCAGATGAGAATGAAAACTGGTACTAATCAACCCCCACTGGTTCCTTCTAGGGCCTAAATCAAGTACACAAAGACTCCAGCACAGGCCCCTTACCTGTGTTATCCAGTGGAAGCGCACTTAGCATTCTGGGCAGGACGATGATTCTTGGGGGGAATGTGCCTCCCACTGCAGGATGCCCTCTCAAATGCCGTATTAGTCCCCATCAGTGAGGGCTCTGTGAAATGATCATACTAAACCTTCTGTTTAGGCTGAGGTTTTCTTCTATCCCTCTTTAAAAAATATATATTTTGGTTTTATCTACTTATTCTTTGAAACTTTAGTTCAATTTTCACCTCCTCAAGTCCCTACCTTCCAGTAGCAGAGATGACATAGTTAATGCCTCTGAAGACTGCCACCGCTGAGGCGACTGCACACTGAATGGCTTCACTGCTGAATTAGATGGTCTTCAGACTACAGACTAGTGATCTGAGGGCAGGGCCGTGGCTCCATTTCTGTCTCAGTGTCTGGCCCCCCACACAGTGGCTGGTCTATTGCTGGTGCTTAGTGATGCTTGTGGAGGAGAACGGTCCACCCCACGAGCTCTGAGCCTGGGAGCTCTCACCTTCTGATACATTCCTTTGGGGCATTTCACATTTTTCAGAACCTTCACACCTCAGACTATACCTCCTTTACCTAGTCAGCTAGCACCTGTTTTGTTCTCAAAGGCTGTCAGGATGAACCTGTGTCAGGTCTCTGTGTGAGGGCCTGGCTCTGCCAGCCATCCGGAGGAGTGGGCACTGAATGTGGGAGGTGGCGTTGGTGAGGGAGCTTAGCTTGGCCCTGGGAGTGCAAGAGCTTCTGCACAGCAGAGACGGGATGGGCCATGCTCCAGGAAGGTGATCCTGACCGCAGTACAGGGAAAGATGCTTAAGTCATGCATGACCCCCTTCAAAACACACCACGGACACATCTCCTACATGACGTTCATTATAGACATTTTCATAGGTACACGCTCTCGTGTTCACTCATTTTGTTCCAAGCTAACTACTAGTTCTTATAGCTTCTCTGTATGTTTTCTCTTTTCTACATCTCATCCTGCCATAGAACATGGAAACAAGAGAAACAATTCTAGTGCTTGGTGGCACAGTAACAAAGTAAGACAGATCTAAGTCCTGCTGATCTATGTCATCTCACTCCGCTGGTTCCCAAACTGGCCATTTCAAGGCCTTGCCCTTCTCCTCAAGGACCCCACTCTACCTTCCTTCCTTGCTGCTACACCGTGCTATCTCTCTTACCCTCACAGTCTCTCAGCAGATGTGTCCCTTTCTACTTCACAGAAGCCATAAAGCATAAACTCCCATGTTTCTGTGCCTCCTCCCTCCCCGGCCCCATAAGGGCATCTGTAGCCATCATTCCCATTCTGCTGAAGATGCCCTCCTACCCAAATCAAGGGTAATCCTTCTACAGAGACCATGGATCCATCACTTCCTTTTTCCTGAAGGTGACCAGCCTTCACTTACCCTGAACTCCTGGGTCATACATCCAACTGCTTATGTAACATCCCTATTTAGATATCTAACACATACCCCAACTTCCATGCTCAAAAGCAAACTTTCTTCAGTTGCTCAGGCCTAAGGATCTTTGAGTCATTCTGGATTTCTTTTTTTCTCCATACATCACATTTCATCTTTCAGAAACCTTAGTGTTTTTCCTTAAAAATACACCCACAATCACTGCTTCAATCCTGGTCTAAGTCATCTGGTTCACGTCTCACCTGGATCGCTGCACTTGCCTTCTAAGCAGCCCCCTGCTTGCATCCTTGCCCTACACTGTGCTCTCAACAGTTAACATGGCCATGTTAGAACCTAAGTCAGATAATGACAGCCCTCTGATCAATATCCTCCAATATGTCCCACCTTACTCAGAGCAAAGCCAAAGCCCCCACAGGGGCCACAAGGCCCTAAGTGATCTGGCAGCTGTTGCCTCTCAGGCCTCCTGCTGCTGTTCTCTAGCCCACTGTCCTCCTGGCTCTTCCCTCCACATACCAGGGAAACCCCTCCCTTCAGGCCTGTAACATGACCAGGGGCTTTCTCGGATCATCTCAACATTACAAGATTATCATAAACCTCACTTAGCGCCAGAATCACTCAGAGAGAACTGAGACTGGAGTCACAGCTTGCCAGCAAGGCAGCACCAGGCTTTTCCCCTTTGGGGGAACCATCACAACTGTCCAGGTAGAGTCCACCCTGCTGCCCAGGGCCTAGGCTCTCCCTGCGCCTCTGCTTCCCGGACCATCCCAGGTGCTAGGAAAAGACAGCCACTGCAGGTGGGTTCTGGATTACTCTGGATTAAAAACCTTATGATCCAAAGGAGCCAATATTTCTTATAATTCAATAGATACATCTTTCATGTGTCAAGAGACCTGTGCAGTTATGAGTGTCATCGCAGTCACAGAAGTCCCACGGTATGGCTTCCTACCCCAGTTCAGATGCAGTTTACTGAACTGCAGCCATTGATACAACAAGCAATGTTGCCTAGTAACACAGTTAACATTCTACTTTTATCAGGTCTCCAGGGCAACTGAGCTAGAGGGTTGAGGAAGTCAAATGTCAAATTCTCCTGCAGAAGGGGAAGGACCCAGTGAACACTCAGTGCATGTGTCTCTTGCTCATGCTGTTCCCTCTGCTGGGAAGTCTCCTCCCTGGACATCCATATGGCCCGCTCCTGCACCACCTTCAATTCCTTCATCAAAGGTCACCTTCGCCATGAGGCCTTCCTATGGAGAATTACAATTTCTGATGTCTCACCTGCTGGGACCTCCTACTATCCTTGTATGCTTTATTTTCTTTTCCATTGCCCTTATTACCTTCTAAGATATATAATTTACTAATTGATTTTGTTTGTTTTTCCTATAGAATTTAAGCTCCATAAGGCTGGAATATTTGTCTTTAATTTTTTCCTCCTGTATTGATAATTCTTAGCACCTAAAACAGTGTCTGGAAAACAGTAGGTTCTTCAACTGTTGTTTTATCTATGAATGAATGTATGCCCTTTCCCTTTCCAAACTCAAGTTTTCCATGGGCATCCTTATTTAAGGGTGAGGGGAAAGAACAAAATATATTTGGCCTACTAGTGAAAGGTAGTGTGGGATAGGGATGAAGCACAGGGACTTTGGGGCCAACTTTCCTGCATTTCCATAAGGGTTTTGCCCCTCTCCTTAAGAGGTTTGTTTCTCTGACCTCTCTGTGCCTTAGTAATCTCCTCTAAGGGGATAATAATAGTACCTACATCTTAGGTTGCTCTGAGGATGAAATGAGTTAAAATATGTGTAAAGTATATGGAAGAAGGCCTGACATACAGGATTTACACTGTGTTAACTATTACTAAGATCAGCTTTTAGAAGGCCTTTACATCTACTCTATACCAGTTCTAGCTATTTCTGTCTCTTCCAAGCTCCTTTTCTCTCAGCTGGTCTGCCTGGAAGTCATGTCTACTCCACAGCCTTTAACTTTTCCAACCACTGGAACTAGGATTTCTAATGACCTAGTTGCTACTTTTCTCTTTTGTCCATGAGTTAGCTGAACACCTGCCACCACTGGCCACACCTGCCTTTGACCCTTGAACCCCTCCTTTTTCCCAGTTTCCACCTGTCCTTTTGCAGCCCCTTCTCAGACTTCCTCAGAGGTGCCCTCTTTCCCTTCATTCACTCTTTAATATCTTTCCTGACCTCATCCCATGCACCACAGTCTCCTTGGCTAATTCTATTCACAGGCACAGCTTCAACTCTCACACTGATGATACCCAGTAAGTGCCAGTCCTACTGACACTTTCCTAGAGATGTCATGTTCTTTCTAACATTCATGGTTTAGAGTTTTTTCTGTCTTCCTGGCACCTTCGTCTATCCCCAGATCCTGCTCCCTGACTGAAAACAGCTGGTTATCCAAGTTTTAATACAATCCTCACTTTTCCTCTCGTTCCTAAACCGAGCGCACCTCTTCAACTCCCCTAGAGCTTTAGGGATGCCTCTATCATAATATAGCCCAACTTTTCCTAAGTGCTGGCTTATTTAGTTTTCCCTTAGAAATGAACTGCTTGTAGGTATACATGTCCTCAAAGTATAGTGCCTGGCACATAGCAGGCACGCCAAAAAAATCTGGATTCAATATCTGAGTACATAATATATATATATATATATATATATATATATATATATATACATAGAATAAACTTGGGCTGGGTTAAATTTTAATTCAGAAACAAACATTGGGTAAAGTAATAGTATCTCACCAAAATGTTAGTTATTCCAGAAAAGTCTTATCCTGGGTTAATGTAGGAGGCAAAGAAAAGAAAAAAGCTCCATTTTGACAATATAAATGGCATGGTAGATATACATACTATTTTTTTACTATAAAGCCAACTTTGAGTGATAAAGGACTTCCTATGATATTAGTGACATCAAATAATACTTGCCTACAGCCTACTGCTATTTGGGCCCAGTGAAATCTTTACAAGTACTATGTTTACCTTATTAAGAAACTTCAGTAAGCAACTGTTTTGGGCTCTCTGCCATGAGTACAAACACCAGACACAAGCAGAAAAGATAAACTAATATTTACATGATATAAAATCACACAGCCAGCTCTTTTAAGAGGTTTCAATAGCTTAGCGTCTTGCTCTCGCTCCCACTGTGACATGAGTCCAGGCACCTACCTGTAAAGTACACCCGAACACACCGATCATCAGCATAGCCACCGACAGGTAATCGGTGAACACGTCCCACCATGGCTTCAGCACCCGGAAGGCAGGCTGCTGCTCAGAGAACTGCCGGAATTCTGTCACCGGAATCATGTTTCTGAGAAAGGAAAGGTTGCCAGTGAATTAATTTATCATCATGCACGGTGAATTGCATTAGTAACAGCATTTGAAATGCTGCTTCAACCCATCAGAAACAGGGGTCTGGATCAGTCCATCAGAAACAGGGGTCTGGATCAGTCCAGGAGTTGTCAGGGCCCCTCAGTGTTTCATTAAGCCACTGAATAAAACCATCAGTTGAGTTAATAGGGAGCCCCACATGGCCCAGCAAGACCACGGCCAGAGCAGTGCATTATTTTCTGGACTCTCCTTTCCCTTAAGCAGACCCAGATGGTGTCTGAGAAAGCAGAAGCCATCCTTTGAAATCTTTTTGCCATTTATCTTACCATCTTGGGGTTGTGCTTTATTTTTTAAAATTTAATCTCAGCATTCTTTTGTATTACTTACTGAGCCCTATATGTAAAGCATTTTGCTTGTTTCCTGGGAAGAGCAAATTATCTTGTCACGTGGTCGTTGTCCTGTAGGAGGAAAGACCTCATTGGTGGTAGTGGTGGGGGGTTTGGAGACACCTTCAATTTTTTCTTGTCCCCTCCTTTCTAGTGTCCCTGTGCTTTTGGCTTGGTTTCTTTTCTTTACTTCCTGTACTCCTCTTATTTCACCGTAAGCCTCAAAGTCATCCTGGTTTTCTCCTCTGAGAGATCTGTTGGCCCTAGAAATGCCTCTCTCTATCTAAATGACAGAAGATAACTGAATAGATGCACCCAAGGCTCTGGGGAAAGGGGAAGAAACACATGCCTTTCTTAGTCTGTACTGTCCTTTCTCATGATCAGTTCCACTGCCTGTACTGTGGTGCAGGACTTGCTGTCAATCATCCTGCTGCGGTGACAAGAAATATTCTTTCCTATCTTACGGCAACAAAAAGAAAATTTCTCCCTTTTGCCATCTTTGGACCCATCATCCAGCTCTCTATGTCTGTGCTTGTGATTTACTCCTAATTAAAGAACAGGGGAAAGGCTATACTTGCTGCCTGTTCTCCCCAGCCTTGTCAGTTTTTCCTGGATCTTCCCTTCCCTAGTATAAATCAAAGCTGTACAATGAACAGCCCAAAGAAAAGCACGGGCTCTTCTTCAAGTTCACTGATGGATATCTTTGGAAATTATTGCAATGTTACCTCGTTCTGAATTGCTGCTTTATCTGACATTTTCTTCAGCAGTAATATATCTTCCTTTGGTTTGTTCTTTAACACAATGTTGCAAATTTCAACTGTCTGCTGCTGCTCTCACCTGTGTCCTACCTACTTGGCATCTGTGCAACATTTGATATAATTTCTTCATTTTATTGAGACAACTTTTGTTAAGTCCACTCTGTTACTGCCACTAGGCTGAAAGCTTGACAGAAGAAGCTACATGCTGTGTATTTCTGTTCTCAAAACCCATGTTGCAGGCAAGCCACACAAGCTAAATAAACAACTCTGCAGATTCCCAGTGTCATTAACATTTCAGACTAGTTCAAAGTTTGATTTCCTGATACTTCATGATCTTTCTTCTCAATGAGTCTCTGTCCCAAACGCTTTCTAGTCACACTTGTTCCAGCAGCAGTCACAGACAGGCACTACCTCATCTTGACTCCCACCACGTTCACAATATTCTGTTTTGCATCTCCATCACTTTCCACCAGCCTGGCAAACAAGAGGCCCTGAACAACTGTCTGCTGAATAAACAAATGAATGAATGCAGGTACTCATTCATGGAGCAATGCTCATCCAAATCAGATTTGGGGTGACCTTAGCCAACTGCAGTGACTGCACAAACAAGGACAGTCCCTGGGCTCCAGTCTCTTTGGCAGATTTGTTTGTTGTCTCCTTTATGATAAATAGAATAAACTTGGGCTGGGTTAAATTTTAATTCAGAAACAAACATTGGGTAAAGTAATAGTATCTCACCAAAATGTTAGTTATTCCAGAAAAGTCTTATCCTGGGTTAATGTAGGAGGCAAAGAAAAGAAAAAAGCTCCATTTTAACAATATAAATGGCATGGTAGATATACATACTATTTTTTTACTATAAAGCCAACTTTGAGTGATAAAGGACTTCCTATGATATTAGTGACATCAAATAATACTTGCCTACAGCCTACTGCTATTTGGGCCCAGTGAAATCTTTACAAGTACTATGTTTACCTTATTAAGAAACTTCAGTAAGCAACTGTTTTGGGCTCTCTGCCATGAGTACAAACACCAGACACAAGCAGAAAAGATAAACTAATATTTACATGATATAAAATCACACAGCCAGCTCTTTTAAGAGGTTTCAATAGCTTAGCGTCTTGCTCTCGCTCCCACTGTGACATGAGTCCAGGCACCTACCTGTAAAGTACACCCGAACACACCGATCATCAGCATAGCCACCGACAGGTAATCGGTGAACACGTCCCACCATGGCTTCAGCACCCGGAAGGCAGGCTGCTGCTCAGAGAACTGCCGGAATTCTGTCACCGGAATCATGTTTCTGAGAAAGGAAAGGTTGCCAGTGAATTAATTTATCATCATGCACGGTGAATTGCATTAGTAACAGCATTTGAAATGCTGCTTCAACCCATCAGAAACAGGGGTCTGGATCAGTCCATCAGAAACAGGGGTCTGGATCAGTCCAGGAGTTGTCAGGGCCCCTCAGTGTTTCATTAAGCCACTGAATAAAACCATCAGTTGAGTTAATAGGGAGCCCCACATGGCCCAGCAAGACCACGGCCAGAGCAGTGCATTATTTTCTGGACTCTCCTTTCCCTTAAGCAGACCCAGATGGTGTCTGAGAAAGCAGAAGCCATCCTTTGAAATCTTTTTGCCATTTATCTTACCATCTTGGGGTTGTGCTTTATTTTTTAAAATTTAATCTCAGCATTCTTTTGTATTACTTACTGAGCCCTATATGTAAAGCATTTTGCTTGTTTCCTGGGAAGAGCAAATTATCTTGTCACGTGGTCGTTGTCCTGTAGGAGGAAAGACCTCATTGGTGGTAGTGGTGGGGGGTTTGGAGACACCTTCAATTTTTTCTTGTCCCCTCCTTTCTAGTGTCCCTGTGCTTTTGGCTTGGTTTCTTTTCTTTACTTCCTGTACTCCTCTTATTTCACCGTAAGCCTCAAAGTCATCCTGGTTTTCTCCTCTGAGAGATCTGTTGGCCCTAGAAATGCCTCTCTCTATCTAAATGACAGAAGATAACTGAATAGATGCACCCAAGGCTCTGGGGAAAGGGGAAGAAACACATGCCTTTCTTAGTCTGTACTGTCCTTTCTCATGATCAGTTCCACTGCCTGTACTGTGGTGCAGGACTTGCTGTCAATCATCCTGCTGCGGTGACAAGAAATATTCTTTCCTATCTTATGGCAACAAAAAGAAAATTTCTCCCTTTTGCCATCTTTGGACCCATCATCCAGCTCTCTATGTCTGTGCTTGTGATTTACTCCTAATTAAAGAACAGGGGAAAGGCTATACTTGCTGCCTGTTCTCCCCAGCCTTGTCAGTTTTTCCTGGATCTTCCCTTCCCTAGTATAAATCAAAGCTGTACAATGAACAGCCCAAAGAAAAGCACGGGCTCTTCTTCAAGTTCACTGATGGATATCTTTGGAAATTATTGCAATGTTACCTCGTTCTGAATTGCTGCTTTATCTGACATTTTCTTCAGCAGTAATATATCTTCCTTTGGTTTGTTCTTTAACACAATGTTGCAAATTTCAACTGTCTGCTGCTGCTCTCACCTGTGTCCTACCTACTTGGCATCTGTGCAACATTTGATATAATTTCTTCATTTTATTGAGACAACTTTTGTTAAGTCCACTCTGTTACTGCCACTAGGCTGAAAGCTTGACAGAAGAAGCTACATGCTGTGTATTTCTGTTCTCAAAACCCATGTTGCAGGCAAGCCACACAAGCTAAATAAACAACTCTGCAGATTCCCAGTGTCATTAACATTTCAGACTAGTTCAAAGTTTGATTTCCTGATACTTCATGATCTTTCTTCTCAATGAGTCTCTGTCCCAAACGCTTTCTAGTCACACTTGTTCCAGCAGCAGTCACAGACAGGCACTACCTCATCTTGACTCCCACCACGTTCACAATATTCTGTTTTGCATCTCCATCACTTTCCACCAGCCTGGCAAACAAGAGGCCCTGAACAACTGTCTGTTGAATAAACAAATGAATGAATGCAGGTACTCATTCATGGAGCAATGCTCATCCAAATCAGATTTGGGGTGACCTTAGCCAACTGCAGTGACTGCACAAACAAGGACAGTCCCTGGGCTCCAGTCTCTTTGGCAGATTTGTTTGTTGTCTCCTTTATGATAAATTCCTGTACACCTTGGAGGGAAGTGCACTTGTTCTCTGAAGTGAGGAGCAACTCAGGAACAAATACACCAATGGAGAGCAGTGGTTCTCAAACTTTTTGATCTCAGGACCCAATCATACCTGTCAATATTTACTATAATAGAAATTAAAACCAAGAAATGTTGAAAGTGTATATTAACTCATTTAAAATAGGAAGCCCATTACATGTTAACAAAAAGTTTATTTTGAAAAATTAATGACAATAGTGGCATTGTTTTGTATTTTTCGAATCTCTTTAACATCTGACTTAATAAAATAAAACTGGATTCTCATACTGCTTCTACATTCAATCTGTTGCAATATGTTGTTTTGATAGAAATTTATGAATCAGATAAACAGTTGGAAAAGGGAGAATTTTCTTAGCAGCCTTTTCATATAATTGTAGTTACTAATTATAGATGTTGATAATATATTAAGCTGACTTGTTTAGATACAACATGGAATCGGAAAACTGTATCAGCGTACTCTTCAAAACCCCATGGTATTAAAACTCTTTTATCTATCTTACTTTGAATGGATCTTTTACCCATTCTTGATTTTGTAACATCATACATTGGTCATCTGGAAAATACTGAATCACTGAGTGATACAGATCTTCTAAATGTTTGCAAATTATACTTTAAAAACAACATTCATTAATATCAAGACTACTTTCATCACGGAAGTTTTTAAGTAACAGGATGCTGTCAAACTCCTGCTGGTGCATACAAGTTTTCCAAAATTCCCATCACCACTTGAAGGTTTGAATTTTATTTCTGGAATTTTAGGTCAGTTGTTTTCCTTGAAAGTGTTGGGCCCTTTACATTTTGAGAAAAAAATCTTGCACATACTCTGGTGTGAATAATCAGTTGTTTAATTCAAGTAAAAAATGGTATAATACGATAAAGCAGCTAATTCTACCCAGGTAAGGACTTTCCCTTGAGACCAACCACTGTACCTTGGAAAGAGGTGCTTTGTGTGCTCTTCCCCTTCATCACACAGGGTATCGATACAATATGTAGTCAGAGGTTGAGAGTTATTAACATAAGTTTTGCTGCTTCAGTGAGGACATTAAATGAAACTGGCACTTTAAAAAAGTCATAAGTATGTGCCAATGAAGAAAACAATCGCTACAGTACAGTCTGGTTCTTGATTTATGCTAAGGTGCCTTACCCAGCATTGCTTTTGCGCCATCAGTGAAAAAGGCAAAAAAACATCTTAGCATTAAAAAATAGTTTTGACCTTGTAAAATCTTAAAAAGGCTTAGTCTACATGAGTTGCACACTTTGAGAACCACTGAACTTAAAGACTCACTGTGTCTTTCCTTTCTTTAAAAAAGCAAAGACCTTAGTGTTCATAACAGGCGAGGTTCTCTGAGTCCCTGGCTGGGTTGTCTTCACAGGCATCATTCTCTTAATATGGAAATTCAAGAAAAACTAAGGGATCCAAGAAACTTAAGTATTATCTACTGTTTCCTAATACTGGTACAGCCTAGTTAAGATGGGTTATTAGCGAA